TGTCTGCAGTTTTTTACATTTTATGATATGTATCTGAACCCAGAGCACATTTATGTACCTTTGTGAATGTCTAAGGCAGCTGCAGATTCATGCATAAAAAAAACTCTTACTGCCCGTTCACATATATGCGGATTGGATGCAGTTTGAACCGCATCCAATCTGCATGACATATGAAAAAATATTGCTTCCTATGGAGCCTGTTCACATATATTTGGTGCACCATTTGGTGTACCATTTGTAAACAAACATGTGCTGAGAGCACGCACCCTGCATGCTCCCAGCACATGTGTCAGTGTCCCACGGAATGGTCCCGATCTCTTCTTGCGATAGGGACCTTTCCCATCATGTGACTGCCGTGATAGCCAATCACCATGGTCACATGACCCTAAACCCGCTCCCACCTCCGGGCATCAAAACCCCTTAAAGGGTCGGGAGGCACAAGCTTGAAAGGGTTAAAAAGAGTCATGTCCAATTTCTGAGCAGTGCGGGCCGGTTCAGGTGCGGATTACAGGCTATTGAATTCTATGGGAACTGTTTCTAAACCGCATATGCGTGCACAGGACAAAACCTTGTTCACATTGGGTATGACTTGGCATGCAATTTATATGCCATGCGACTTGCAAATCGTATACCACGTCGCACCCTATTATTTGCAATTATAGCGGTCATATCAGTGCGGTTCCAACTTGGTCAGAGCTGCACCAAGTAGTGCATGCACTACTTTTGGTGCGATTTTCATAGACATCTGTGTCAGATGTCTTGCAAATCGCACCTTAAATTGGCAAGTCACCCGACTTTGAAATCGTGTGACTTCACTGTAAGTCACACAATTTCAAAATCAGCTTTGATGTGACTGGGGTGTAAGATCCTCAGCTAATCCTGTCCTGAACCTGATGTAAACCTAACATGAACCTGTGAACAACTACTACATCCATTAGCTGTGAAACCTGAGCTTCAATCTGCACTGCACATGTGTGAATAAGATCTCACAAATGCTTTTGTTCTATTAAAAAAAAAATGACTCTTTTAACCTCTTCCCTACCGTGCTATAGCCGGAAGATGGCTACAGTGCGTTTGTCTAGTTCTGGGACAACGTTCACTCTTCCTGCGCGCCCCCAGCAGTGCGCACTTGGCGCCACCGGAGATCGCAGTGTCCTACTGACACAGCTGATCATTTGATAGGTAAACGGCCTTTTACCACATGATCAGCAGTGTCCAGTGACACAGCAGATAACCGGGTAAATACAGTTGCTGTTTACCAGCTGCGCTTTCCTCACGCTGTCACAGCCTGAGGAAAGTACTGCCGATAACCAACAATTGTCAGAGAAGTGATCTGCACTGATCATCGGGGCAATGATGATTAGTGCCACCCACCTGTAACCATCAGTGCCACCCACCTGTAAACATCAGTGCCACCCACCTGTGCCCAGCAGTGCCACCCACCTGTGCCCAGCAGTGACTAGCAGTGCCACCCATATGTGCCCAGCAGTGCCACCCACCAGTACTGCCCAGCAGTGCGACCCATCAGTGCTGCCCAGCAGTGCCACCAATCAGTACCCAGCAGTGCCGCCAATCAGTGCAGCATCATCAGTGCCGTCTATCAATGCCACCTATCAGTGCCCATCAGTGCTGCCTATCCGTGCCACCTCATCAGTGCCCATCAGTGCTGCCTATCAGTGCCCATCAGTACTGCCTATCAGTGCAGCCTCATTAACGCACAGCAGTAAAGGAGAAAAATTACTGTTTGCAAAATGTTATAATAGAAACAAAAAAAAAAGTTTTTTTTTCAAAATGTTTTGCTCTTTTTTTGTGTATAGTGCAAAAAATAAAACACCCAGTGGTGATTAAATACCACCATAAGAAAGCTATATTTGTGTGAAAAAAGTGATAAAAATGTTATATGGGTACAGTGTGGCATGACTGCACAATTGTCATTCAAAGTACGACAGCACTGAAAGCTGAAAATTTGGCCTGGGCAGGAAGGGGGTGAAAGTGCCAGTGTACCGTATAATAATGACTCTCCTGAAAAATAACTCCCCAGTCATTATTATATATATGTAATAATAACTCTCTCTATGTAATAATAACTCCCAAACAGAAAAAGGCGTAAGTTATCTAATATAAATTCAATTTTTGAATTACATTTTTATTATGAAACAAATGAGACCAACAATGGTTTTTTTTTTTAAAGTTTTTACATAGTAGATTTTTATTAAAGTAAACAAAAATTACACATAGAATTGAGAACTATCAACATACACGTAATGTAATTTGGTGCTTTAAAGAATTGATCCTCCAAATAATTAATTAATGATAACTTTCAATAATTAAAACCTGTTAACACTCTTATGTATATATTAACAGATAAGGCATATCAATTTAAGCTCTTTCTTTCAACTTTTATGTTATTTAGCTTCTTCAAAACTAGGGGAGTTATTATTACATAGAGAGAATTATTATTGCATAAATAAAAATGACTGGGGAGTTATTATTATTTGGGAGTTAATATAACATAATATGCTGGGTAGGCAAGTGGTTAAAACAGATCTAAAAGCAAGTAACTGAGCTTGTAATATTTCCTCCTCCCCGATCCCCCAATCACAACTTTACCATTAAGATCAACAGCACAACCATTGGTCCTTCCCCTCATGCCAGGGAGTTAGCTGTAATCCTAGACTCTGACCTCTCCTTTGGGCCCCACATCCACTCACTGGCTAAATCCTGCTGCCTCAACCTCCGGAATATTTAAAAAGTCCGCCCCTTCCTGACCAATGACACCACAAAACAACTCATCCACGCCTTGGTTATATCCTGCCTCGATTACTGCAACTCCCTCCTCACTGGTCTACCGTTACACAGGCTATCCCCCCTTCAGCCTATTATGAATGCTGCTGCTAGACTCATACACCTTACCAACCGATCAGCGACTGCTGCCCCTCTCTGCCAGTCCCCCCACTGGCTTCCACTAACCCAACGAATAAAATTCAAAATATTAACCACAGCTTACAAAGCCATCTACAACACTGCATAGAGAGAAAACAGGTGGCGCACACACCTAGTGCATCATCCAAGGTTTATTGTAGGAGTGAAAGAATAATAAAAACATACTCACAGACAAAGCATGTATCTAAAAAGCATAGAAAAATGACAATGGCCACAATGGCAGGCAAGGTGTTCTCACTGTCAGTGCGGCCAAATGGTTGACGAGTTTCAGGGACGAATCCCTTTCCTCAGAGCTGATGACCAGTCTCTGATGCAGATGTATGATAAATGGAAAGTAGGAGCCTTGCTGTTGATGGAGGCAGCGTTGTGGCCATTGTCATTTTTCTATGCTTTTTAGATACATGCTTCATCTGTGAGTATGTTTTTATTACTCCTACAATAAACCTTGGATAATGCACTAGGTGTGTGCGCCACCTGTTTTCTCTCTATCCAGTGGCTGATTTCCCTTTCTGAGGAGGGCTGCACCCCTGAAGCATTTCTTTTGGTTGTCGCTGTCCTGGTACCCTTATCTTCCCTTTTGGCTGTACATATCCTGAGGCGCTGGAGAGTACATACGATATCCACAACACTGCCCCTAGCTACATCACCAACCTCAGCCACAGATACCGCCCAAATCGCCCACTCCGCTCCTCCCATGATATCCTCCTCTCTAGCTCCCTCATCACCTCCTCCCACGCTCGCCTCCAGGACTTCTCCAGAGCCTCTCCCTTGCTCTGGAACTCCCTACCACAGCATGTCCAGTCATCCCCCACCCTGTCTGCCTTTAGGCGATCTTTGAAAACTCACTTCTTCAGGGAAGCCTACCCCACCTCCTCCTAAGAACGGTACTTGAATCACCTCCGCCAGATCATCCCCCGCAGCTATCACCTTTTGTATCACCTCTCCTTCCTTTAGATTGTAAGCTCTACGAGCCGGGCCCTCCTATTCCTTCTGTACTAAAATGTATTGTAATTGTACTGTCTCCCTTATATTGTAAAGCGCTGCGCAAACTGTTGGCGCTATATAAATCCTGTATAATAATAGATTGTAAGCTCGAAAGAGCAGGGCCCTCGATCCCCTCATGTTTTGCATTGTATTGTTATTGTTCTGTCACATGTTCTGTCCCCCTTTGTAATGTACAGCGCTGAGCGAACTATTGGCGCTTTATAAATACTGTATAATAATAATAATAATCAAAGGCAGGAACTAAAACATCAGTAAAATGTTTGCAGCCATGTGAATGTCAGAGGGGGTTAACTCGATGAGTGAGAAGAATTTCTTACTGTGGGAAATTGTCGGTTTTTAATGACAGCAGCATGGAGAGAGGCAGGGATTTGTGCTTTCCTGTGACAGTGAATGGAGATGGTCGGAAGCATGTGAGCTGCAGGCTGCCAGTGTATTGCTGACATGTTGTTTTATGCATTGGCGCTTTGAAGCTGAGCCTTTGAGTGGAAGCAGGGAGTCAGCTATAGCACAGAGGGGCTGGGTCCATAGCTCGAGCTGGATTCCACACATTGGTTCCATCGGGAAGGCGTGTTGTTCCAGCCGCTGCTCCAGCTACGTGCGGCTCTGGCGCTGTCCACGATGCAGGTGCTGAAACCAAGCCCACTGCCGCTCTATGCTGAATGAATGAATGAAGGAAGAGGCGCCGCCGGCGCTGTCCTCGGCTCAGGTGCTGAAAATCCAGTCGGCCTCGGCTTGCCGCCCCTCCCCTGGCACAAGGACGACTCGGGCAGCCATGAAGCGAAGGCTGCTGAATTACCGCTAGCTGGGAACAATCAGGCCCCGATCTCTGCATCCTCCCACCCAGGGAAGATCGGAACAAAGCCATGGATTTATTGGGGAAGCAGCCACCCTCAGTGTCACCTGCCTGCTGGCCGTGTATGGTAAAGTGCTGCGATTTAATGAGGATGTGAGAGTCAGGCTATTGTGGGGAGGGGTCGGGTGAGTGCTGTTTACCTGCTAAGATGGCTTTCACTAGGAGGTGTGCGGGGCTGCTGCTATCTGCAGCCCTCTTGATGCTGGTGAACGTGGTCACAGGGCAGCTTAGGTACTCAGTGAAGGAGGAGTTGAATCACGGGGCGTTTGTGGGCAATGTCATCAGTGACCTGGGTCTAGATCTCAAGCAGCTGCCCAAACGAAGCTTCAGTATCACATCTGGTAATGACAAGCAGTATTTTGATGTAAATCTAGGGAATGGAGTCCTATTTGTAAATAGAACAATAGACCGAGAATCGCTTTGTGTCCCAAGTGCTCCCTGCATAATCAATCTGGAGGTCGTCATAGGGAACCCTGTGGAGGTGCACAACATCGAGATAGAGATATTAGACATTAATGACCATGCCCCGAAATTTCCTAGAAATGAATACTATTTGAATATCAGTGAGTCAGCTGTGCCTGGAGCTAGGTTTCCTATTGAGAGTGCACTGGATCCTGACATAGGCAGCAATTCTATTCAGACTTATAAACTGAGTGACAATGATTACTTTGCGCTCGACCTAAAGACGTTTAATGGAAACAGCAAGCTGATTGAAATTGTGCTGAAAAAACCATTAGACAGAGAACAGAAATCTCTTCATCGGCTGGTTTTGACAGCTATAGATGGGGGCAGTCCGGTAAAATCTGGCACGGCCCAGATTTTGATATATGTGATGGACACGAATGATAACAATCCATTCTTTGATAAGTCTACCTACAAAGCCAGTCTGCTTGAAAATTCACCAGTAGGTACTTTAGTGGTCAAGCTAAATGCATCTGATCCAGATGAAGGATCAAATGGTGAAGTTGCATATTCATTCAGTAGCTATACCCCACAGAAAGTTAGGCAGTTGTTTACTATAGATGCAAAATCTGGAGAAGTTAGAGTAAATGGACCGTTGGACTTTGAAAAGTCATCATCCTATGAAATCTATGTGCAGGCCACTGATAAAGGTCCAGTTCCTATGGCAGGACATTGCAAAGTGTTGGTTGAAATAATTGATGCCAATGACAATGCCCCAGAGATAGTTGTGACTTCGAATTATTCTCCTGTTGCTGAGAACTCACAGGAAGACACCGTTGTGGCTTTAATGAGTGTAAATGACCAAGATTCAGGGATCAACAAACAAGTTAGCCTAACAATCCAGCAAAACCTTCCATTTAAATTAAAGTCCTTTAAGAATACTTATAAACTGGTGACTGATGGTAAACTGGATCGAGAAAAGTGCCCTTCTTACAATATCACAGTGACAGCTACAGACTCTGGGAATCCACCACTGTCATCTCAGAGAACACTCTATGTGGAAATCTCAGATGTGAATGACAACCCTCCAGTATTTGAAGAGCCATCTTACTCCATGTATGTTTCGGAAAACAATGCCCCAGGAGTGTCGGTGTTTTCAGTAAAAGCTGTGGATCAAGATTTAAATGAAAATGCGTTTGTTTCATACATGCTTCTTCAAGGGGATGCTGAAGGGCTCCCTGTTTCTTCATATGTTTCTGTCAAATCTGACAATGGAATCATATATGCAGTCCAGTCATTTGACTATGAAAAAATAAGAGAATTCCGATTTGTTGTTCAAGCACAAGATGCTGGAAACCCTCCACTTAGCAGCACTGCTACTGTATATGTTTTTATTGTAGATCAAAATGATCACGCGCCAACAATTTTGTTTCCAGCTCCAACAAATGGTTCAAGGTCCATTGAGATGATTCCCCAAGCCTCGAATGCTGAATACCTTGTTACAAAAGTTATTGCAGTTGATTTAGACTCGGGACAAAATGCTTGGTTGTTTTATAACTTAGGCAAGTCCACAGATCCTAAACTTTTTAAGGTAGACTTGCATACAGGAGAAATAAGGACTACAAGGAAAGTTGCAGATGACAGTATTAGCAACTACAACTTGACTGTTATTGTAAGAGACAATGGGGAACCTCCTCTTTCCTCTTCCACCACTATAAGTGTGGCCGTTGTGGACAAGATTTCAAAACTTGTCCCAGACTCCCGTAGACACGTTAAAAATAGCACAAGCTTCTCTGAAATGACTCTTTATTTGATAATAGCTCTGTGCTCTATTTCATTTGTATTTCTTTTGACGCTGATTGTCATTTTTGTTCTTAAATGCTGTAAGTGTAATGCTGATCCATGCTGCACTGGTTGCTGCACAGGGTGTTGTGTCGTTCAGAACCCAAATCCCACAGAAATGTATAAACAAGCCAACAATAACATTGAAACCAGACTTCCACCTGGATTGAAAGTACAACCTCATTTTATTGAGGTTAGGGGGAATGGATCACTTACAAAGACCTACTGCTACAAGGCCTGCATGACAGCAGGGTCAGGAAGTGACACTTTTATGTTTTATAATACTGGTGTTCCAGTAGGAACTATGCCACATGCAGTAATTGCAGACAGAAACTTAACAGCCCAGAGTGGACAGAGACATAGTCTAATCATCCTACAAAGTGAAACAACAACTCCTGTAGAGGTGAGAATAAACATACTACTATTTATACTTACTCTGTATCAAACCAATCAGTTGTTTGTCTTTGTGATTTTTCTAGTTTTTAATATATTAAAACTTTTATGCTTTGTTGTTGAATAGTTCCATAAGGCAAGTTTTAAGAAATGGCACAACTCATTAAATAACTTTTTTCTGTCAAAGGTAGCAAGACGACACATGTTTGTGTTTTCAGCATTTATAATTCATGTGAAACATTACTTTCTTAATACAGGGCTATGGAATTGTGCATCTGCCAGGTAAGTATTGAAATGTGAATTAAACAAATGCACTAGAACAATTATCACAACGATGCTTGCTGTCACCTCTTCTGAAAATGCTTGTTGCCTGGCTGTCACGCTGACTTACTTGCTTTAATACTTTACACCTGCAATAAGTATGCAAATAGTAATCTCTGACTTCTCAGACTTTGCTGCCTTTTGCACTTGGTAAGTGGTTCAAAAGAAGATAATAAAACCAGTGGTTCAACATAACTGCCAGGCAACTTGCATTTCCTGAAGGAGTAAAATGTATGGCTCTCATGATAGGTATGTTTTGAATGATCTTTACTGATCTAGTAAATGTCTGTGAATAATTTATGGAAATGTAAGCAAATTGAAGTTGTTGCCTATAGCAACCAATGGAGTTCTTTATTCCTAGGTAAATGTAATGGCTGCTATGAATTACAGCTCCAGTTTTCAGAAACCATCTCTGCATGTGCTGAGGTCTCTGTGATAAACTAAGTTGAACAAAATAATAATTCACAGTTTTACTGATAAAAGGTGAAATCGGGTTTTGCATTTTTAACATCACACATGCAGATAGTACTGACTAAACCACTTCAAGTCCGGACACTTTCACCCCCTTCCACTCCAGGCCAATTTTCAGCTTTCAGCACTGTCACACTTTGAGTGACAATCACTCAGCCATGCAACACTGTACCCATTTTTTGCTTAGTTCATATTATACAATTTTGCAAATACATTTTTCTTAATACATTTAGGCCAAAATTTATTCTTCAAAATTTTTGGGATACAAATAACCCAAAGCAATGTGTATAATTTAGTCTGTATGAAAACTATGGAGTCTACAAACTATGGGGGATATATATTTAAAAATTGGTATGTTGAGACCCTACAATGTTGGACCCGATAAGACTTGTGGTGGTGATCAGGATGCTGGTATGGCATATAGGGTGATCAGGGCGCTGGTATGGGGTATAGTGGTGATCAGGGTGCTGTTATAGGATTTGGCAGTGATCAGGGCGCTGGTATGGCGGTGGTCATGACATTGGTGTGGTGTAATGTGAGCACTGGGACAGGTGACAAGCGCTGGCTGAATTATATATTGGGGACTACACTGGGCCAGTGATCAGGGACACTGGGCTGGCTTGCCCAGCAGTCTGTGAGTATACATGCAGCTTGACCGATGCTTAGTTTCACTTTCTGTTGTTTACTATGTGATTGGACACAGCAATCACATAGTAAAACACCATGTGACCACCCAAACACAGCAGTAATGTGATCCTCTGGGCTCCCAGGTGTGTGCTCAGGTACGTTAGCCCACATCGGTACAGCTCATCCAGCGTCTATAGACTATGGGCAAATGAAAAGAGGGTAAGTGGTATAACCCAAATGCCATTATTATATAATGTTAATAGTTAATCACCTCAATACCCGACACTTTCACCCATTTACTCATTTCCTGCCCAGGCCAATTTTCAGCTTTTCAACTTTCATGCAACACTGTACCCTAATGGCAGTTTTATCCTTTTTTTAGACAGACAAAGCTTTCTTTTTGGTGATATTTAGTCACCACTTTTTTTTTATATCTTTTTTTGCTAAATAAATAAATAAATACCAAAGATCTTGAAAAAGACAATGTTTTTTTAGTTTCTTTTATAAAATTTTGCAAATAAATGATCTTTCTTCATAAATTTAGGTTAAAGTGTATTCTGCTTAATTTTTTTGGTAACCCAAATCCGTGCATATTATTTAGTCTGTGTGAAAGTTATAGAGTTTACAAACAAATGATATATCCCTCATATCAAGATATTTTCTAAGAGGCATAATGAGTCTTTTGAAAATGCTATTTTCGGCCACAAGTTTTTTGGAAAATCCTGGAAATAAAATGAAAATGTTTTTTTTACACAAAGCTGTCAATTAATAAGATATTTCTAACACACACGCATAAGCACACTTAGAATTACTCCCTCAAACACAATCTGCTACTCCTCCCATGGGGATATGGGGATACCACATATGTGAGACTTTTTCAGAGCCTATTTACACAGAGGGGACCAAAATTCAAAGAGCGCGTTCAGGCTTTCTAGGAGCATAAATTTTGCATCTAATTTCCTGACTCCCTATCACATTTTTGGAGGCCCTTGAGCACCAGGACAGTGACAACACCTATAAAATGACCACATTTTGAAAAACTTCAAGTTTTGCCACAAGTTGTTGGAAACTGTGGAATCAATATACATGTTTTTTTTACACAAAGTTGTCCATTTAATAAGATATTTCTCACACATGGTATAGAATAACAACCCAAAACACATTATACTACTCCTTGGTGTTATTATTATTATTATACAGTATTTATATATAGCACCAAAGGGTTTGCTCAGCGCTGTACAATAGCGAGGGGGACAGAACATGAGACAATACAATAACAATACAATACACGAGGGGTTCGAGGGCCCTGCTCCTTTGAGCTTACAATCTAGGAGGGAGGGGATAGTGGTACAGGAGGAAGTGGCTGTGGGGGATGGAGTGGTGGGAGGAGTGGAGGAGATCGGTTGTTAGGTGAGGGTGGGGTAGGTTTCCCTGAAGAGATGGGTTTTCAGGGTGCGCCTGAAGGTGAGGAGGGTAGGTGAAAGTCTGATGGATTGGGGTAGTGAGTTCCAGAGGATGGGGAAAGTCCTGGAGAAGTCCTGCAGTTGGGCGGGGAGGAGGAGACCAGGGAGCTAGAGAGTAGGAGGTCCTGTGAGGAGCGAAGGGCATGGGTAGGGTGGTATTTGGGTATCAGGTCAGTTAGGTAGTTTGGGGTGGCGTTGTGAATTGCTTTGTAGTTCAGAGTTAGTAATTTGAATTTGATGCATTGGGCAATCGGGAGCCAATGAAGGGATTGGCAGAGGGGGGTGTCAGATGTGGAGCGGTTGGTGAGGTGGATGAGTCTAGCCGCTGAGTTCAGGAAAGATGGTTATGATGTTGGTATTGTGATACAACATGTGTGAGACTTTTTCAATGTTTGGACTGATTATATACCACACATTGTATCCTGGGTATCACACAAATCAACCAATTTTATCAAAGCCACTATATTGTAATGGTCGCCTTTATGCGAGTGGTCGGGGAATATAGCTTAGTGTAGCATCACCTATTGCAAACCCTGTTCCTATAGGCTAGCATGCCTAGCATACTGGTATGTTACTGCCCCTAGGAATGTTATGTTCACTGGCCAAGGAGTGCCTGAGGCCAAAGAAAGGATAAGCAAAAGACTTCCTGTGGTTCCAGGAGTGCAGTTATCTGCAGGGGATGACTGGATGGGTGTCTCATGGGAGCAAAATCAGCAGGATGTGCTGATCAGGTCAGTTCAGGTGCAGGCAGAGATATGGTAAGCAAACGGGCAAGGGATTGGTCCAACAGGCAGAAATGTGGCCAATAAACAGGCAGTTGTGACTGGCTGCACTGTTAGGGCTCATTCACATGTTAGTTTTGGGGGTGGTAAAACCTCACAGTTGAGCCATGGTTTTACCACCCCTCAACCACTATACACTTTAGCTGCAGTGGCAGCAGTTGGGGGAGGGGTGTACACATGCCATGGTTACGATGCTGCTCCTGCACTCACACCAATTGTGACTCATTCAAGTGAATGGAATTGCTTGTGTTGGGGTCCAAGGGGTTAAAGCAGGAGGCAATACAATTCCTCCTCACTGCCTGTAAATGCTCCCTTAAGAGAGATCTGAACAAGGATGGCTTTTCAGATTGCATCACACATGTGAACAAGTCTTTATAGTGACACTGTGATTGCTGTGGTGGTGATCAGGGACACTTCCACTGGTGTGGTAATGATCAGGGACATTGTGACTGGTATGGTGGTGATTGGGACTGTGGGTGCAATTCACAAAATGGTATTTTCCTCTTTAAAATCTGAGATAAAATAGGGATTTAGGATATGCAGTATATCATTGAAATGTGACATCATTCAGAATGATCCTGATATCCCCCTGGAGAAGGTCAGTCATTTATTACTAGGAAAAAGGTAAACTGGTTTAAACCATAGAAATATGCCAACTCACTCAGAGTCAGAGCATGTGTATTAGTACAAAAGGAAAAAGGTGACTGGAATGACAGTCAAAGGGAAGCTGCTTTCACAGGACACACGTGGTGTATCAAAAGAACAAAGTTTTTAAATATATAAAATATCTTTATAAATGTCAAATATTGAATGAAAATAGTGTAAAAAATCACACACATAGGTATTTAAATACCCTTCTTCCACCAATAAAAAAGACAACGTTGTTTTATTTTTATTGGTGGAAGGAGGGTATTTTTATATGTGTGTGCTTTTTGATACTATTTTCAAATGAATTTATAAAGATATTAAGTATATACTTAATTTAACTTTGTTGTTTTTTATACACCACATGTGTCCTGTGAAAGCAGCTTCCCTTTAACTCGTATTACAGTCAACTTCAG